TTATTGTAGAGATACTGTACAGAGGGGTTACAGTTACATGAGTAAGATAACTTTTCCTATCGAGCATGTTACCTCCTTTGTTTTTTCCCTACCACCCTCCCCTCCCCACCTCTCCACCATCCCCCCTCCTCAAGTTGTAAAGTTTGTTTTCAACATAGTGTCTTGTACATCTCATTGTTACAATGGGTCAACCTGTATCCTTATTTCAGCATTTTGTTATTTGCCTTCCCCTCTCCAAATAAGAAAAATGTATACCAGATGCAGGGCATCAGAATCAAATACAGTGAAAACAGAAGTTATACCATGGGGGAAGAACATATAAGAGAAACAAACATAGTATATTATACATATATTAAAAACAACAGTAAGGGCTGGGAAGGTGGCTCAGTGGTAGAGTGATTGCCTTGCATGCATGAGGCCCTGGGTTCAATTCCTCAGCACCACATAAGCAGAAAAGGCTGGTGGAAGTGTCACTGTGGCTCAAGTAGTAGGGCGCTAGCCTTGAGCTGAAGAGCTGAGGGACAGCGCCCAGGCCCAGAGTTGAGGCCTCAAGACTGACAAAAAACAAACAAAAAAACAGCAAGAAAGATAAAACTTCTTTTTTTTTGTTTTGTTTTTTGGGTTTTTTTTGGGTCCGGTCATGGGGCCTGAACTCTGGCCCTGGGTGCTGTCCCTCAGCTCTTCAGCTCAAGGCTAGCACTCTACCACTTGAGCCACAGTGCCACTTCTGGCTTTAAGATAAAACTTCTTGTGTCCCTATCTTGGGGTTCATTTCACTTAGAATCATCTCATATGGTCATATGTACATAGCTTTTGACTTTTCCTTCTGGTTCTAGAAATTAGTATTATATTTTTTGATGGAGTGTTTTGTCACATAGCAATTATAGGAAATTTAAAATGGGACTAGATACTTTTTAGTGGAATAAGAAAAATGTAGTTGTTTGATTTATGCTTGCATTCCTACTCATATTCTCTGGTCTGTGCTCCTGGAAGAGCTACTACTTACATTAGTGTATGGATTTCTCAGGGTTACAGACCATATTCTTTGCTTTCTTATTTCCAGTGAATAAGATTGTATCTGGTATTTAATAGGTGCTTAGTAAGTGTTTATTATAAAGATTCACCATATAGACACAGTCCCCAAAAGTAATTTTATTCATGTAAAATTTACTGTAGTTAATCCTGGTTGATGGTCTATGTATGCAGTATATAGTGACTTTCAGGATAACTTAAAACACGTAAGGCAAAAGAGCACAGGAAAGGAATAATTTGAAAGAAAATTATGTGGTTTTGTTTCTCAGAATCAGGAGATTCTGGAAGAACTTTATGATGCTATCTAAACAACCATGTCGGTTGTCTCAGATGAGAAGGGACTTTTAGTATGACAGAGGCTTTGTGTAGTTGTGAGCCAGACAATCAAAATGTATGCCATTATGTCCCCATGGGAGAAATGTAAAATTGTATGGTAACAAAAACTAAGAGAAAAACTTTTAGTGTCTGTATATAGGATGAGGCATATTTTTGTCATTTTGTAAAATGTATAAAGTAGAATTTGTGTGTGTGTGTGCACGCGCATATGTGTTTTGGTCCTGAGGCTTTCTGAACCCAGGGCCTTGTTCTGTCCTTGAACTTTTATGCTCAAAGCTAATGCTCTACTACAGAGTCACAACTCTGCTTCTAGTTTTTTTGGTGGTTAAGTGGAGATAAGACTCTCACTAGCTTTCCTGCCCAGGCTGGCTTTGAATCTTGGTCCTCAGATCTCAGCCTTCTGAGTAGCTAGGATTACAGGCATGTGCTACTGGTGCCTGGTGAATTCACAATGAAGTTTTTGACTCCCCAGTCTACATCATATGGACTAAAAAACAAAGAGAGCACTCTAATGTGTCATTGAATAGATTTCAGTGGGCATTATCCTTAGCCTAGGAATATAGTGGTCAGCTTCAAAGATACCTTTGCTGCTCACCTAGATCTTCTAGTTTCATAGTGACATGGACAAGTAATTACAAGGTAATGGGATAAGCTGATATCAAGGATTCTTAACAAATAGGAGTTAAAGAAGGCTTCCTGGTGAAAGTGACATTTTCCTTGGGATCTAAAGGTTTTTAGAAGTGAACTAAGTGAGAATATTTAGAAAAAAACAGGTGAAGGCCTTCAGTGTGAAGGAAAGAGAGGGAATATTTCTTGGATAAATTTGGTATGCTTGGATTCATTGTGTGTGTGTGTGTGTGTGTGTGTGTGTGTGTGTGTGTGTGTGTGTATGTATGTGTGTGTTTTGATAGAAACATTATTGATAGCTATGGATGATTAGTTTGAGTCAAGTTTTTTGGATGTCAATTGGGAATAAATATATACTTCCTACAGTATAACTGTTTAGGATTAATTAAGGAGTTGCTAATAGCTGTTTTTCTGTGATTGAGAGTCTGGTAAACATAGGGATAGGCCTTATTTACGGATATAGGCAGACATTTTTATGCTTCTTTTTATTATTGTATATCACTTTTGTCCAAGGAGTTTGATTGTAGTTTTTCATATTTGGATATAATATACATTGATTCTTGTTCATTCCCTCTTATTTTTTTTCCTTGTCTCCCTCTTTTGAACAATTTCATTATGCTGTTTTCTTGTATTTGTTCCAGTCATGGGACTTGAACTCAGGGACTGGGTGCTGTCTCTTAGCTTTTTTGCTCTACCACAATGGAAATGAGTCTCTGGGACTTTTCCTGCCTGGGCTGACTTTAGTGATACTCACATTTCAGCCTTCTGAGTAATGAGGATTACAAGCACAAGCCACTGGTGCCTTGCCATTATACTATTTTTATACATGCATATAATAATGCTTCTGTCATGTATACCATCCCCATCATTCCTCCTTTTTCCTCATATTGGACCCTCCTTATTCCTACTCTTATATTAATGCTTTTGATTATTTTATGTATAACTTCATGCATATACACTATGCTTTAAATCTGCTACTATGGCCGAACACCAGTGGCTCATGCTTGTAATCGTAGCTACTCAAAAGGCTGAGATCTAAGGATTGTGTTTAAAGTCACCTGGGGCAGAAGGTCAGTGAGACTCTTGAGTTAACCACCAAAATGCCAGAAGTGGAGTTGTGGCTCATGTGGTAGAGTAAAAATTCTCAGGGACTGAGTTCAAGCTCCAGGATTGGCATGCATGCACATGTGTGCATACACACAAATACAAATCTGCTAGTATGTGCTTTCCATTTATATCTTCAGTTGATTTTTTTTTGTACCAGTACTGGGATTTGAATTCAGGGCCTCACACTTTTGGTTGGCTTTTATTGTTTTATTATCAGATTTAAACTTATTGAATGACTATGAGCAGCTACACTTGAATTAATATCTTGATTTTAAGATGAAGAAGAAGAAGAATTTCTCTTTAATATAAAAACATTACTTTTTCACAGATGGTAAATTTGTACTTATATGTCTAAATTTAATGACTAATAGCAAATAGGGGAAACAGAGAGGGTTAACTTTCCAGTTATAGGTTCAAACGAGAAAACTAGCAGGTTTTTGAATTCCGGTAGAAAGTTTCTTTTTTTCTTACTTTTTTTTTTTTTTGTCAGCCAAGGGCCTGGATATTGTTCTGATTGCTGTCCCTTCGCTTTTTTTTACCCAAGGTGGTGCTCTACCACTTGAGCCACAGCTCTACTTCTGTTTTGCTGATTAGAAATAAAAGTCTCACAAATTTGTTTGCCAGGGCTCACTTCCAGTTAGAATCCTTAGATCTTAGCCTCCCGAGTAACTAGGATTACCTGTGTGAGCTACTGGTGCCAGACAAATTGAATTTTTAAGTTAGATTACTCTGTTCCTTTTCAGTCTTTTTAGTCTATGTTAAAGGCAGAATTGAATCTCTTGTTTGGGCCAGCTAGTCTTAATTTAGAATGTTTGGAAATTTTTTTTTCTTGTTCCTGGTGTTATGAACTCAACTAGATTTTCTAGGAATGATATAATTAGAGAAGCTTAGCCAAAGCATTTTTATCCTTGTTCTACCTAATAGTTTGTTAATCAGTTATGTATGTGTGGGGACTTAAGTCACACTAATTAGTAAAGCTTACAAATCAGTATTGTCAGCATACCTGTGCAAAGGCCTGTAGAAATACCAACAAAGACCTATTATATTTATTTCTGGAAAATTTTATTTTAAAGATTGGATGCTTGTTGCCATTTATTTTTCTGTATCTTTTGGTCTTTTATTGTAACTCTTAAGATTCCCTAGATTCAATAGCATTTCTTATTGAGTAATATTAGAACAGAATATTTTGTAGTTATAAATAAACTAGCCTTTGTCTTGAATGCTCAGTGCAGAAGACAGGCATTGAACTAGTAATTATAATTAGTTGCAATTGGGGTAAGAATTCTGAAGGAGAAAGGCCTTAAATAAATTTATAATGCTATCAAGAGGCCTAAGCAAGATTCTCTACTATCACACTAAATAGTTTTAATCCCATGTTGGTCCAGAATCTGAAATAATACAAGTTGATTTTAAGAAGAAGAAACAGAGTCCTCTGATAAAGTTATAACCTTCAATGAATTGGGCAGTGTATTTTAAAAATTCATTGTTCATTTCTTAATTCAGAAAAGAGCTAGAAAAACCAGCCAAAAAAGTTTGGTTGGATGTGGTGGTAAACATTTTCCTGCCCTCCCTACCCCACACCTATTGAATCAAAATCTCCAAGTTTGGATCAACTGTTTGGATCAACCACATATCAAAAACTGCCTTAGGATTTCCAAGAATTGATTGGCTAGTAAAGTAGAAAGAGGACATCAGTGTAACTCCAAAACTGCTAAATGATAATAGGGTTTGCTTAGAACTTAATTTATAACTTAATTCTAAATATAGAAATGTAGAAATTGGCAATGTTTATGTTTTGTTTTCAAAACCCTTTTGGGTTGTCAAAAGTGGTTTCCCAATTTAAAAATGCATGTTTAAATTACTTTTTGTGTTAATTTTTCCTTTCTTTTTCTCTGTAGGAACTAAACAACTTAAGCATATTTTATTAAAAGATGTGGACACTATTTTTGAATGTAAATTATGCCGCAGTCTCTTCAGAGGATTACCAAATTTAATTACCCATAAGAAATTTTACTGCCCACCAAGTCTCCAGATGGATGACAGTAAGTTTTATTCATATACCCAGTTCTGTCTGTCTGTCTGTCCTTCCTACTCTTACCCTGCAACTGTACATTTGCTTTAAAATGGCATTAAGGGTCTGGGAAGGTGGCTCAGTGGTAGAGTTCTGGCCTTGCATGCATGAGGCCCTGGGTTCGATTCCTCAGTACCATATAAGCAGAAAAAGCTGAAAGTGGTGCTGTGGCTCAAGTGGTAGAGTGCTAACCTTGAGATGAAGAGCTGAGGACAGCGCCCAGGACCAGAATTCAGGCCCCACGACCGACCAAAAAATAAAAATAAAAAAGTATAAAAATAAGATGGCATTGAACTCAGCAAGACAGTACTAAAATTGTTTCTTAGGTACTCTATAGCCATACTATATGAGTATCTCGAGACTCGAGATACTCATATTAGAAGTTAAATTTATTAGTATGCTTTTTTATATTAAAGTATTGGCTACTGTTTTTGAATGTTCATATGGACCATATAGTTTATACTCAGATTTAGTAAGGAAGTACATTACTGCTATCATGAAGGAGCAATTTCTTTTTTAATTAACAGCGTCTAACCAGATACAATTGATCACTGCTTTATCCATAAGTAAATGAGAATGTTGGAAATTAATGAGTAAATCAGATGATTTCTTGGGAATGATGGAAAGCATTTAAAAATTGTTAGTAATCTACTATTTTCTGGGTCTTGATTTGACAATCCGTTTTGTTCTTAGTGAAATGTATTTAGATCTGTCCCTTTATTGCTGTTAAGATTGTATCACATACTAACTTGAGGTTAGAAATGTCTTTTTGTCATGAAGGCTAGTAGACTATGTGGAATCAAATGTTTGTTGGAATAAGTATATTCTTTTTATATGTTAAGGTAACAGTCTGCATAATTGTATTATTTTCTTTAAAGAATTAATGTAAATTCTTTAAAATACATTAATTACAGATTACTTCATTGTTTCTTATTCAGGGGTTTAAATTTTTATGGACTTAACAATATATCACTTACTTTGTCAGACTGACACTATAGATGGATTGTGGATTTAAATAATTTATCCTTTAACCTTTTGGGATGGGGTGAAATGCAAACTATATGAAAGTGTTGTGTTTTTTTTTCTATTCTTAGCTTTGAAGTAGGCTATAAGGGTATAGTTAGACAAATTCCTATTGCTATTTGATATTATTGAACTTATTATTGAGCTGTGAATTGAACTTATTATTGAGCTGATAGAAGTTAGTTTCAAAAGTATCCTTTCATACTCGTAGGAAATTTATTTCTTTGTGGTTTTTTAAAAAATGTTTAGGTTGTAGAATTTACTAAAAGAGTGAAATGATAGATGGATTTACCAGATTTTCACTAGTCTTGGTAATTCTACATTTTTATGAAAGTATTGTCATACTACTTTGCCATCTTAAAAAGAAAGATGAGTAGATTAGAGGAGTTATAATGAATCATTTCTTGATTTCTAAGGTAATAGATTTGGTGGATATATTTGTATCTAGATTTTAGAATTGTATGTGGAAAAATAACTCATTTTAGACAACTTTGTTGAAATAGGCTATTTTTTTAAACTCTAAAGGGTGAAACTATTACACAAATAAAACTAGCTCTGTTTTTGGAATAAATATGGTTTTTCACCATGTATTTTAGTAACAATGTCTTGTTAGGACAGGTGCTGGCGGCCCATACTTACAATCCTAACTATCTGGGATGCTGAGATCAGTAGGATTGCAGATGTGGGCTAGTCTGGGCAAAACAATTTTCAAGACCCTTTTCCGATAGCTGAATGCAGGGAGTGATATATGCCTTTCATATTGGCTACATGGGAGGCTGAGATTAAGAGGATCATGATTTCATGCCAGCCCACACAAAATCCATCTGACTTTATCTCAGTGGAACAAGCTGAACATGGTGGCATGCCTATTACCTTAGCTACAATGGAATTTAAAAAAGAATGGGATTATGGTCCAGGTACATATTGAGCATAAAGTGAGGTTCTACAGAAAAAATAACCAGTGCCAAAAGGGCCAGAAGTATGGTTTAGTTGTACAGAGCCTGCTTGGCAAGCATGAAGCCCCGAGTTCAAACCTCAGTACTGCTTTAAAAAATTAAAGATGTAAAATAAGATTAAGTTCATAGCAAATACTTCTTTATACATCATGTCATATTTATCAAAATTGCTGAGAAATTTTTTTATTTCTGTAAGATGTTGAGATATATACTATAGTACTTAATAAAGCTTAATAGGAATAGTGTTTTATTTTAAAAACCATTTTTATTTATATAAAACATTCTTCAAGATGTTCAATATAACCTGGATTATGAGAATTTTAAGTACTTTCGCTTAGTTTGAAACTTTGATATTGAGCATGTAAATTATGAAAATATGACATTTTCAGACTAAAAATATGCAATGCAATTTTGTTTGTTGGAACATCTATATGCTTATATATATTATAATAAGAGCACTGAAAGCAAAAGTAGCTGTTTAGAATGATATCTTCCTTAACGTTTTCATACCATGATGAGAATTTGAGTTAAAGCAAATTTTAATTTTGTTAATACTTGTTTTTATGTTCAAAGAATTTGAACAGTAGATAATGTACTTGTAATAAATATGGATCAGTAATAGAGCAAGTTTTATGATAGAGCTTTGTAATTTATTTTAAAATACTAGAAGACTCTAGAGCAGAACAACTTCAGATTAAAATGTGTTTGTTTTTTTTTAATCCTTGACAGACCTTCCTGATGTAAATGATAAACAGAGCCAAGCCATAAGTGATCTCCTAGAAGCCATATATCCAAGTGTGGATAAGCGAGAATATATTATTAAACTAGAACCCATAGAAACTAACCAAAATGCAGTGTTTCAGTATATCTCAAGGACGGATAATCCCACAGAAGTCATAGAGTCGAGTGACACTCCTGAGCAAACTGAAGTTCAAGTCCAGGAAACTAACACAGAGCAGTCGAAAGTAGTACCAGTTGTAGACACAGAGGTGGAAACTGTAGAGCCCCCTCCTGTTGAGAGTGTTACAGATGAAGCTACACCTACATCTGATGAACAGCCTCAGGAATCACAGGCTGACTTGGAAACTTCTGATAATTCTGATTTTGGTCACCAATTGATATGTTGCCTTTGTAGAAAAGATTTCAATTCTAGACGTGGTGTTCGTCGTCACATTCGGAAAGTACACAAGAAAAAGATGGAAGAACTAAAAAAGTATATTGAAACACGGAAGAATCCAAACCAAACTTCTAAAGGACGCAGTAAGAATGTTCTAGTTTCATTAAGTAGGAGTTGTCCAGTATGTTGTAAATCATTTGCTACAAAAGCGAATGTAAGGAGGCATTTTGATGAAGTCCATAGAGGACTAAGGAGGGATTCAATTACTCCTGATATAGCAACAAAGCCTGGGCAACCTTTGTTCCTGGATTCTGTTTCTCCTAAAAAATCTTTTAAGACTCGAAAACAAAAGTCGCCTTCAAAGGCTGAATACAATTTAACTGCATGCAAATGCCTCCTTTGCAAGAGGAAATATAGTTCACAAATAATGCTTAAAAGGCATATGCAAATTGTCCACAAGATAACTCTTTCTGGAACAAACTCTAAAAGAGAGAAAGGCCCTAATAATACTGCCAACAGTTCAGAAATAAAAGTGAAAGTTGAACCAGCAGAATCTGTAGAATCTTCACCCCTTTCCATTACCCATTCTCCACAGAATGAATTAAAGGGAACAAATCATTCAAATGAAAAAAAGAATACACCGGCAGCACAGAAAAATAAAGTTAAGCAAGACTCTGAAAGCCCTAAATCAACTAGTCCGTCAGCTGCAGGTGGCCAGCAGAAAACCAGAAAACCGAAACTTTCAGCTGGCTTTGACTTCAAGCAACTTTACTGTAAACTTTGTAAACGTCAATTTACTTCCAAACAGAACTTGACTAAACATATTGAGTTGCACACAGATGGAAATAACATTTATGTTAAATTCTACAAGTGTCCTCTTTGCACTTATGAAACTCGTCGGAAACGTGATGTGATACGACATATAACTGTGGTTCATAAGAAGTCATCTCGCTATCTTGGGAAAATAACAGCCAGTTTAGAGATCAGAGCTATAAAAAAGCCTATTGATTTTGTTCTAAATAAAGTGGCAAAAAGAGGCCCTTCGAAGGATGAAACAAAACATAGTGATTCGAAACATGATGGCACTTCTAACTCTCCCAGTAAAAAGTATGAAGTAGCTGACGTCGGTATTGAAGTAAAAGTCACAAAAAACTTTTCTCTTCACAGATGCAATAAGTGTGGAAAGGCATTTGCCAAAAAGACTTATCTTGAACATCATAAGAAAACTCATAAGGCAAATGCTTCCAATTCACCTGAAGGAAACAAAACCAAAGGCCGAAGTACAAGATCTAAGGCTCTTGTCTGGTGAGGAACAGTTACAGAGTTTTGCTTTTTTACCCCCATCGAACTAAAAAAAATTGACCATAATTTTATAGCTGGTTCATTTTAACACATTTACTTCCATTTATCTCATGTCAATGGGAACTGCAAGAGTGACGTGCATATTGCATTTACCTCTTCAGTGACCTTTATTCCAGTGGTTTGGGAACAAAATTAACTTCAGAACTTACTTTCCACAGGACAATGCAATGTAGTTATAGATAGATGGCACAGGGTCAGTGCTTTCCTTTTAATGTAAAATATATACATTTATTTTGGTATATGTTTACAATAGAAATCTTATGTTTAACTTTGCACAGGCTTACTTTGATTTGGTGGCTTAGTATATTAATGCATTGTAGGGAAATTAAATATATTAGAATGAGTTTGTGAAGAGGATAATTATAGGAAGAATATTTTGAGGCACTGTAATTATTGTAAAAATCTGTGATGATTAAATAAAATGCTGCACTCAGAAAAAAAAATCCCCGAATTAAATTTAGAATAATGATTAGCATTTAACATTTACCTTTATTACAATAGTTGCAGGTGAAGGGGAAAGTTGGTAAACAAAAGTTTGATTTTTTTTTTAGGAGTGTGTATTAAGAGACTTTTTTTAGTTTTGAGCTATAGAAAAAAACTAAGTCTAGATACTCTTTATTTTTCTCTTTCTGCTCGAGCAGTTTGGTGATCATTATCTCAACAGTTAATATTAAGAAAGGATTTTTTTTGGTGGCTGTGGACTGCAAGAAAAGTAAAATCCTTATTTGGAAGAAAGAAAAAAATAATACTTAAAGCCTTTAGAACAAATATAGAGTTTTCAAATGCAATCTTAAAGGAAGAGCAGACTTCCCATGCTTGCTTGCTTTTGCAAGTCTATTTATTTTTAAAGTTTATACTTTCTGTACAATGTCTCTTATGTTTAATGTATTTAGTATTAGTTTCAAAGTCAAGTTCTAAAGCAAAATACTTAGTTTGAGTGTTTGATAGGTTAACTGTTCCAGTTCGATTATCACACATTTTTTTATTTGTGTGGAAAACCTGAGATGAAACCGTTCTTTAGAAGTCATTTACTGTTGTGTAATTTTAAGACCAAGGTTTTATTGATAAACTCAAAAGTATTCATTTATTCCCATTTCTCCTCAGATAACTTCAAGTGATGTGCGAAAAGGTTTGAAGTTCATTTTTATGGAAAGACTTTAAATTGTTAGAACCACTAAACGTCTTCACATGGTACTATGAGGAAAAAAAAGAAAACATTTTCATAAATTTTCAACTGTAATTGCTGTTTTCTGACAAAAATAGTAACCATCTAACTAGATTTTAAGTCAGTGCCTATTCCATCACTTTCAACTAGTTGTGACTTTACATATTTTCATCACAGTCCTTCACCTAACCACCTTGGCTTTATGCATTTGGTCTACAGTTTCTACAGAATTGTTGCAAATTTCATTTTGCAAATAATTTGTTGATTAAAATGATCAACTGCCTGAAGAAAATAAGTTTTTCACTGACAGATTTTATACTTTTAGTGATTTAAGTTTCATTTCATTTTATTTTGCAAAATTTTCATTTGGATTGTACAGACATATGATTTTCTAGTGAGTATATTTTAGGAACAAAAGATGAATTAGTATCAACACATTATATTTAGTCTCCTAAATATTTGTGATCATTTTACATCCATTTGTTTCTAACTTGTTCTCCAGCACTTAAATATTTGAAGGTTTTCCTCTGAACTATATGCTACAGTAAAGTTAAAGCTCATTTTAATGCATGGATCATTACATTTTTATTTGTAAACATCTGAGGATTTTGTGAAAATTAAACATTCCCCTATTTTTCTTTTTTATATAAAGCACTTTAATGATAGATGCAGCCTTATTCTTCAGTTTCTATATTTTTTAAAAGCCCAGACATTAATGCTTATATGAAGGTAATAAATAGCTTGCTGATATTTTATGGATGAGGACAATCCATGCACAACCACTTCTTATGTTACTAGTTTATTTCTTTAAGTGTTGCTGAGAAAGAAGATGGGGCTGTAAACCTTGATTTTTATTTTTCTCCCAAGAAAGATTTTTAAATGACTACTTTAGATAATATTTGACTCCTACAGTAAAATTTAGAAAATAATGAGTTCTTGTCCATTTTTGTAATCAAGATTTTAGAAAAAAAGTACATCTATCTTTATGAAATTTTGGGGCAGGGTTTTGTGTATCAATATTTTGTAATTTTTAGAGGATATTTTATTTTTTAGTAATTTGTGTCAAATTATAATTTTAAAAGTTACAGCAGAAAATATACCATGTTTTTATATAGGTTCACATCTGTACTTAGAATGGACTATGTCCATCTATATATTCCTTTTGTATAAACTTTTAAATTGTTTAAGATCCATAAGGTCATAATAAAATGCTTCTATAGCTAGAAAAACATTTACCCTTCTCAGTGCTTTGCACTAAAATATACTGTGAAAGGAAACTAGAAAGACTGTAATTGTTGCTGGAAATGTTCTATATTGAATGTACATGTTCTTGTTGGAAAAAATGTACTATATGTGATGGAAATAAACCAGACTCGAAGTTATTTCAGCTAAATGTGCTTCAACAAAGGTGCATTGGTTGAAACTTAAATGTTTTATTATCAAATTTAAACTTATTCAGTGACTATGAGCAGCTACACTTGAATTATATCCTGATAGTTTTATTTTTAAGAAGTAATGATTTCTCTTTAATTTAAAAACAGGTTACTTTTTCACAGATGGTAAATTTGTACCTATAGGTCTAAATTTAACGACTAAAATATTTAGGGACTAAATGTGTAGGTGGTATTTCATTTATAAACCATCTTCATTAGTTGCACATTATTAAACCTGTATTTTTGACTTTTGCAAGGTGTTATCTTTTTGTGCATGCCTACACACAAGACATACTCTATGTTGGCTTTTTCTACCCTGCTTTACTTGTTACATTCTGTAGGGAAGACAAAAAAAAAAAAATAGCATGATATTGGAGAGGGGAGGACAAGTTGCTTGAAGGCCCTTACCTCCACCCACTGTTTCCCACAAGACCTTTCTCAGTATGTTTCCTCCTAAATAATCTTTGAGCCATATAACAGGACTTTAGAAATAGGAGAAAATAAGAGTTCTAGGGACAGTCAGAAAATTGCATCTGAATCATAGAAAAAAAATTTCCTAAATTAAAAGGGTCTAGAGAGACTGGGAACGTTTTATCATAATAGGAATGGTGGCACACATAGCAGACTAAACTGGGACTTGTTTAGAAAGATAGAATGGACAAGAAATTAGAAAGAAAGTGTCCTTCTTTCCTTTTTTGATCTTCATCCTTATATCTTGGTTTTTAACTCTGAGCTCTGTCATTTCAAGGCCTAAGGCTTGATGTCCTTGATGTCAAAAAGCATATGGAATTTTTGTCAGCTTTTCTGTACTGAGGTATATGAAGAAGTATTTCTCACTTGTTGTTGTAGTGAGAGGTAATTAAGAAGAAAAAAGTCATCAGAAGCTGCTTATGTTATATTAAGACAAATTTTGGACTATAAAATTATACCCAGTTTTGCTGCCATTTGATCAATTTGAGTTTTTGTAGCCAGGTGCTGGTGGCTCACGCCTGTAATCCTAGCTACTCAGGAGGCTGAGTTCTGAGGATCACAGATCAAAGCAGTCTGGGCAGGAAAGTCCATGAGACTCTTATCCAATTAATCACCAGAAGTGATGTGGCTCAAGTGGTAGAGTGCTCACCTTGACCTGAAATGCTCAGGGTCAGCACCTAGGCCCAGAGTTCAAGCCCCACAACTGACAGGAAAAAAAAAAGTCTTTGTAAGCTGGTTGTGGTGGTGTTCACCTTTAATTGCAGCACTTAAGAGGTTTAGGCAAGAGATTGTAAGTTGCAGGCTAGCCTATGTTTGGGGATACTTGTTCTCTAAGAAACAAAAACAAAAAGTTTTCTATAGACTCGGACTTACTTTGGTTTCTAAAAATGTCATTCTCAGTGGGATGAAAGAGGAGAGACACAACAGGTATAGCTTCACACTTCAACTTCATAAATGTAGGTAGTGAAAGCAAGATGAGGCCTGGCTGAAAATGGGTAATGCTCATTAGAAGGTACAGATACTCCTGAATGTGCAAACTTTTTAGGAGGGTTTATGTCTCGCTTTTTCTTCCTTTTTAATTCTAACTTGGAGAAAACCTTTGGAAAAAAGGATATAAATATCCCATCCTTAATTTTAGCTTAGTTTTGCTTGTATGACCTAAGTTTTTAGTTGATAATAGGCTATTTTCATTGTTGAAAAGTGCCTTCACTTTTTTTTTTTTTTTAAAGGAAAATGTATTTGTTACTCAGTTTGCTTTAATAGTGGATGCAGAAGGTTTTGTGGCTTTCCTATGGCTTGAAGTTATGGGTATGGAAAGAGTTTTCCTTTGTTACAGCAAATATGTTTGAAAATAGGCATATTTCCTATTGTGAAGTTGTAAAAGATCTTTTCAAATAGCCTGACAACTGAAAATGAGGTAGAAATATTTCTTAAAAATTAGGCTTCTAAATTTCCTTTAGTGACCCACAAAAATATATTTTAGGTTCTTACTCTGGAATTGTAGAAATTATTTTTCTATTAGAACCCATAGTCCACGAAGAATTATGATTTAGCCATGGTTCTCATAGTTGATCTGTAGGATATAATGCAGCATGATATCCATGTTCCTAGACAAAAACATTGTGTGTTCTATGCTAAGTTTGGTTTGTATGGCATTAGGTACATAGTGAAATATGAGATAAAACTTGTTTCACTTAAACTTGATAGTTTTGGCCTTTTCTGTCTGCACTGGTTTCCAATCTTTTTTTTTTTTTTTTTTTGTCGGTCGTGGGGCTTGAACTCTGGGCCTGGAATTTTGGCCTTTTCTAACTACCAATTCTTTCCTCCTCTCTCACACATTTTTTTTTCTTTATCTTGTCTTAGTGAACATCTAGCTCTTACCTTGGCTTTTTCTCTTTAGTTAAGAGAGATTATTAGTGCCAAGATAGTGAAAATGTTTCTTTGAGGAAAGTAAGTATGAGGAATTTACAGTTATTTTCTCCTGAATCTTCATTGCTCTACACTGCATTTAGAAGGAAGAATATTTTTAAACTTCTTTGTTTCTATATTTTTGACACCATCAGAATCATGGGAGAATTTAAGTACCATAGATGTTACTTGGTTTGGGAGGGGGGAAGCCCAAAGTTGGATATATTGTTGTTTGTATCCAGTGAATGAATTAGTTTAATTGTGTGTTTTGGCATTAGGGACTGTGTTGTAATAAATTTTACTGTGCCTAGTACATTTTAGTACATTTTCATATATACCAAGGTACTTTAAATATTTGGTAATAGGAATGGTACTAAACATTTGAGACTTTGAATCTTAATTTCATAATTCAAAGTCTTAAGCATTATCTCAATATTGGTGAATCTTATTTACTTTAGAAAATACTGGATGTGAGGGTGATCTGGCTGTGACATCTGTCACCCCATTGATTGCCAGGGTTGAAAATACTTCCAAGTACTTAGATGGAAGTTTATGAAAATAAAGTTCATTCTTAAAGCTAATAATGAATGAATATTTATGGAGTACTTGTATACCAGGTACTCTGCTAACACTTTAAATGTGTAATGCTTCTAATCCTACCAACAAATCTGTGAAGGAATCCATTATTATTAATGTCTATTTTTTTTCCTGGTACCAGGGCTTGAACTGGGGGCCTCAAGTCCTCATTCAGCTTTCTTGTTTATGGCTGGCTCTCTGCCACTTGAGTAAGATATGCCTCTAGTCCTGCATTTTGCTGCTTAATTGGATATGGAGTCTCCCAGACTTCGATGCCAGAAGTGGCTTTGAACTTTTGTTCTTTCGACCTTATCCTCCTGAGTAGCTAGTATTACATGCACATGTTACTTGTGTCCAGCTTTATGTCTATATTATAGAGAAATTCAGTGATGTACTCAGGCTCCCATAGCTAGTTGGAGACTTGATCCTCTGTATGACAGCAGAATCTTGCAACCTTACATTGCACATTTAGCCATCTGCAAAGGGCATTTACTCCATTGTGCCTTTTTGGCAGTTTTTAGTAATGATCTGGAACTCAATTAGTTGGTGCCACTTTTTTTGGGGGGCGGACAGTATTTGAGCTTGAACTCAGGACCTGGGCACTGTCCCTGAGCTGCTTTTGCTCAAGGCTAGCGCTCTACCACTTGAACCACAGCACCACTTTTAGTTTTTTTCTGTTTATGTGGTACAGAGAAATTGAACCCAGTGAGTGCTTAATGCATGCTAGGCAAGCACTCTACCACTAAACTACATTCTGAGCCCAGTTGGTGCAACTTTAAAAAAAATTTTATATATATATATATATATATGTATATATATATATATTTGTAAAGATACTGTGGTGCAACTTTTGAATCCACTCATTCCTTCAAATATTCTGTGCCTTTGTGACCTTACCTGTAATATGGAGATGATATTTCTTCACAGATTTACTTTGAGGATGAGATGAAAAATACATGTAAAACAACAATAACTGGCATGTTACTGTACAATTTAGATGCTTAGTACTGTAAAGTTCCTTCATATTCAGATGTGGAATTTTATTACTAAATTAAATTTACATGGAAATTTGTGCCTTAGAAGAGAAAACCCAGTCTTTCTTGCTATCATCACATTTTTATCTGCTGCTGCTTTGTATTTAATTGGGATATTGAAGATAGATAACTTTATGATTTGCTATCAGCTAGCTAATTCTTAGAATGTTTTCACTTTTCTTGAAAAGGTATTAGGGAGTTTTAAGCACATTCATTATAAGTTAGGCGTTGTCTCAAATCTTAATGTTTTATCACAAATATTTTTGGTCATGTTCAAGACACTGACAGTGGAGAAAACAATAATTGCATAGCACTTTTGAAATGTTTTTATAAAACCAAATGAAGATAGGTACAAAGTACAATTTGAAAGAAAGCATTTGATTGTAGAAAAAAGTAGATTCTTCAAGAGAGTATCATTTAGCTTGAGTCAGAAATTTCTTTGGCGAATGTGTTAGGAAGATATATAAAAAAAAAAAAAAGCACTCATCAAAAGCCTACCCATAATAGCTATTAGTGGCAGTAGCTCTTAAATTATGTTCTGGAAGAGTTTACCTATACATCTGACTGTTCTTGATCACAATTGTAAAGGTAAGGTGATTTAGGAACTTCAGTGCGTAGAGAATAGAGTAATTGTATCACCAGAGAACCCTGTGTGGTTTTCTGTAGGTGTAGATGAACATTTATGTCTTCAGATATGTACTGTGGGTTTTGTTTTTTCTTGACAGGCTCTTATGATAACTGGCTGGCCTGCAAATGCATATTTCTCCTGCCTCAACTTCAGATTTCAGGCAAATGTTACCATGCTTGGCATTTATGTGGCTTTGTGATGGTTCTGATACTTAAATGCTTGTGTAGGTATCTGAGGCATGTTACTGGCACACAAAACATTGTGGTCCCCCCCTCCACACACACTGGGGTGCTGGGATTTGGCTTTGGGGTGCTTGGATTTGGTTTCTTAAACTGTAATAACTTGTATTATATCTGGGTGTCCTGCTTCTTACAATGTGGTAACACAATTCAGTGTAAGAAGATGCATATAAGAAATTATTACATCAAACAATCTTTCATTTTTGCAGCTTGCATTACAATTCAGATTTTGAATATTAAACTTTAATTCCTGTGGGATTATCTGAAGATAAATTAGATGCATAATTTTCAGTCAGTCTTTCTCATCTTTGCAGACATGGTTTACAAAAACAATTAAGGCTCCTTTTGGGTCCTTTGGTCAGTTGTGGCAGTAACTTATTTTGATTGGTACTAAAA